AGCTGTTCGAAAAAAAACTTTCTTTTTAATCTCTTATCCCTACTTCAAAAAAACTTCAATTATCTTTGAACCTTGACGTAGAATGTAAGAAACAATTCCGACAATATTTAGACCGTTTATTCGATTTCGATACGAAATTCGTTTTTCGGATTCTCGGCACGTGTGCTTCGCACCGCATTTCGTATTCGAGTCGAAACTCGAATACCATCTAATTTATTTCTTTTTTTTCTTGGCTTGTATATGACCTATGTTAAAATGTTAATATGAATCAAAAAATGAAGAATGTTATGTTAGCTAAAATTTTCGACATTTTTCCACTTCAATATTTTTCCTTTCTACATTTTTCCTTTCGATATTTTTCCATTCGGCATTTTTCCTTCCACATTTTTCCCTTCAACATTTGTTCTTTCGACATTTTCTACATTTTTCCTTTCGATATTTTTCTTTTCGACCAAACTACGGCACACCTTCTTGTATATATATATTTTTTAAATAAAATTGTTATCTGCATATGAAGTCTTTTTTGAATATAAGGACATCTGTTATAAACAGAGAGCGTCTTTTATGAACACTCTTATTCATTCAATAGTGTTATCTTCATTTCTAATAATTTTTTTCGTTCTGTCTTTATGTTGTTCATATAAATAGTATTCTCATTCTGTAAATGTACCAAATTTTTCAATGAGGAATATGCCAAAACATACGCCATGAGTACAGCTACACCATATCAAAAATTCAATCGGGGATCCCTTACTTTGATAGAACATACGTCGATGACACTGAAATTTGATGACTGGAATTGTACACCCGTTTTTTTTCAAATTTGATTATTTTCTCATGAAAAATCGCATCCACAAAATAATAGAAATAGTCTATTTTGTATAGAATTTTATTCCCTCTCATTTGAGATATTTCGCGTCCCAACCCGCCAAAAGATGGAGGACAAAATCAAAAAATACGACCAGGATTGAGAAAATCAATTTTTAGGATCTGATAAGAAAAGTCGAAAAAAATGAGTACCTGCTATTTTCTTATAGATAAATCAAAATGAGTTCATATTTTGGTTTTTTTTAAATAATTTTTTATGGATTTTCTTATGAGATGATCAAAGTCAAGATCTAAAAATTTTCCGCTGCTACGATGGTCGGTATTCTTACGGACCCTCTACTAATTAATTTCGTTTCTTCATCGTTCTCTGACGAAAAGAAAATACTTTTTGACATATAAATATGAATGATCTTCCATATAAAATCATGCAAGTAATTGAATCAAATACTAATCTTTTTCTTTTTATATTTTAGGTTGGTTTCGACAATAGAAAATTAATCAATTCAATTGGACTCAATACGATAAAAGATAATCTAGGTATTCGTTTTCACTTTTATTCTTTTTTTCTTTTCTATTATTTATGAAGGGTAGTAAGACTTTCCATTATTTTTTTTTCTTTTCGTCATCTATATCATCGCATTGTGTCATCATTCGACATTAACAAGCGAGTCAAGGTTTTTTTCTTTTGTCTTATTGAGTTGAGTTGAGCTATGATATAGAGGGGTGGAGTTAAGTTACTTGAGGGTTATAGAGTCTTCTATGAAGGACTTCCGAGCAGCCCCTAAAAATCCGGCCAGAAATTGTCTTGGTGTCTGTGGCAGCATGATCGGACCCCAAGCTCACTGACGCATGTCACCGTGTGGGTGCATACAAATGATGTTAGTTTTCCCGCGCGTGAATAGAAATTGAAGAAAAATTTTCTCCATTTAAATGCAATTTATTCAATCGAAAAAAATTGAACACGACTATTTCCCGGATCGGTGACATAAAGATTTCCTTGCAGATCGAAAGACAAACCACGGGGAAAATTGAACTGATTCGCTCCTTCTCCTTTACCATTGCCACCCACAATGACAGTACCCTGTATTGCTCCTTCACTCCAACGCATTACTCGATGACTCCCGTGATCTACAACATAGATAGTACCCAACGTATTGACGAAGAGTCCGCAAGGAGCAGACAATTGTGTCAGATTATTTCCTTCACCTTGACCTCCAGCAACGATAATGCCGTCTTTTGCATCTTTATTCCATTTCATTACACGATTATTGCTGGTGTCTGACACGTAGACATTCTGTTGTTGATCGACAAAGATGTAGGTTGGATGGTTGAGTTGGTTGAGATCAGCACCTTGACCATTTCCACCAGCTACGATAATTCCATTCTTGTCTCCTATTTGATATCGTCTTACTTCATATTTTTCGATGTCAGAGACATAGAGATATCTCTGATCATCCAAGAACAATCCAAAAGAAGCGATGTTATCAATGAGAATTTCTCCTTGGGTTATGCCACAACGACGAGACCATCGTACAACTCGTCGATTATCCCGATCGCAGATAATGAGACTATCAGTCTCTTTGTCAATCAGCACATCAGTTGGATGATACAATTGATCCAAACGATTTCCTTGGCCCTTCCCACCAGCTACAACTTGTCCATTCTTATCGCACATCTTCCATTGGACAATACGATGATTCATGATATCAGTAATGATCATCATTTGATCATTATCAACGAAGAGACCGTAAGGACTGTAGAGTTGATTTGTAGCACTGTCTTCTCCATTCTTTGCAGCAACGGTCTTTCCATTCTGTGACCATCGAGCATTGATTGGAATATTGGGAAAGACTACAATGAACAAAGAAAAAAAGAGTTGTCATTTTCGAAGAGATTTTTGACTCTCACACACGAGAGAAAGTACTATTAGTTCTAATGTCTGAAATGTCAAACTTTTGAAGAAGAAAACTGCTTAATACGAAAGTATAACGAGAGCGTCTCGTGGTATAGTCATTTCAAACTAGAGAAAAAAGAAGTCATTTGTTTTATAGAAGATGTTTTTACGAAGATTTTGTAGTTTTAAATTAAAACGAAAGTTTACAAAATTAATATTCTTTTATTTATTTTTGAAGTTGAATAGAAAAAAAATAATTAAAATTAAAATTAATCTTTTTTATGTGTTTGTTTTTTTTTCTGAATAAATTTCGTCTCGCACTTACGAAAAAAGTAGAGAAGTGATCAGTTTTTTAATTAGAAACTCTTTTGCATTGGTTTTAATATTTTCAACATGTCATATGACAAAAATTAGTGGTAAAAGTTTTTTTTTTCTTTCTTTTAGAACGTTTGAAAAAACGAATTCGAAAATGCAAAATTTCACTACAAATATAATTTTTTTAGTTTTTCTTTGAAATTTGTAAAAATGCTATTTTCCTAATCAATGTAAAAAACTGAGTAAAACGGTGTTATTCGAATTTCTCCGGATAGAAATAGAATCCTTGTACGAAAAATATGTATCAATGATCGTAATTTTGTGAAATTTCACTTTCTTTGTCTCTATATAGGCTATATCTATCAAATTCTTGTATTTTTACATATACAAGGACAATTTTGAAAAATGTAGATTTTTTGAACAATAGAAAAGAATTTTAAAAAAGTAAATAGTCTATGGTCTACATTTATTCGAATGACACCGTTTTTCTCAGTTTATCAGGCTGATTCAGAATATAGTATTTTTCAAAAATTTGACTGAAAAGCTGAAAACTCGTGATCAACTTTTTAAGTTCTATCAAATTATATATGAACAAACGAAAAAATTACATGTAATTTGAAAGAATGTTTTTACAATGAGCATTAATCATATGTTTGGTATTCGAGTACAATATTTCGTAGTAAATTCAACAGTTTAATTGAATTCATTAACAAGTTTAGTTGTTTTCAGAGACCAAGAAAACTAGTTTCATTAATGATAAGAAAATTATCTTGTTCTCCACTTGTGTTGATGCTATATGCACTTACAAAAGTCATTTCCTTGAGTCATATTTGTTTTTCTTAATTGAGATATTGAACTATCTTTCAAGCTATTCCGGCAAATTGTTATTTCCGTGATTGAAAGATTTACTTAACTGAATAGGAATATCTATGACAATTTTTCAGTGATTTCTTTTTTGACTTTCTTGAAAATATAAAATTAGAAAATCACGCTGGTATTCCTCTAACAAATATTTCTAGAAAAATTGCAAAGAATGCCCCATATGTTTCGACAGAGTGTGGCAAGCTCTGTAAGAATGTGAATATAATAAAAAAAGCTGTTAACGCAATCCCTTGCGGGATTAAAAATGTGAAACGTGACGCATCTGCTATAGCTGTTGTTCCAAAAGCTGTTGTTTTTATGCATACTGATGTACATTTCTTCATAATCGTTTACCTTACATTACAGACACTCAGTAGGATAATACTCCATATATATGCTTCAATTATATGTTAGTTGTGCATCATATCTGATATTTCCTTGAAGTCTTCTATCACAGTCTATAATCATTCCTGAGTCCTGTCAGTCACGGTTTGTGAGAGGTCGAAAACGTGTCTGTGAGTTCAGACCTTGTCTGTCACGGTCTGTGATGGGTACAAAGTCCTGTCTGTAACGGGTCCAAACCTTCTCTGCGACGGTCTGTGATGGAGAAGATGTTGCTAAGAATGTCTATGATGGAAAAGACGTTGCTAAGCATGTCTGAGACGGTCTGTGATGTTTGTCACGTCTGTGATCGACCGTTGCTACGGGTGTCTGTCACGTCTGTGACAAGCCGTTCTTAACGTGTCTGCGATGTCTCGTTGCTAAGGATGTCCGTCACGTCTGTGATGCGTTGCTAAGGATGTCTCTTACGTCTGTGGGGGGTGGGGGTGGGGGAGTATTGGCGCAAAGTTCTACCCCTAAACACTTCAACACTCCTTTCCGATCGTGTTTCACAAGAAAACAAGAAATTCTGATTCTTTTATTTTCAACTTCACTATCTCATGCTGCATTTCGAAGTTTAAGTTGACTATCGATTTGTTAAAATATCGAATGTCAAGCATATTCTCTCATTTAAAATATGCGATATTTTAAAGCTTTCTGGTACGTTTCAATACTCGGAATCGGGCCACTTTTTAACTCAATGTTCATTGAAGTTAGGGTGGCTATTCATTGTTATTTTACTTTATCTTTAAACAGTTAAAATAATTTTAAATTTACCCATATATTTCAACAGGTTAAATTTCTGTCAGCATACTCATATCTTTACCTGTTTAGAATGTCGAGTGTAGTCTTTGACAATCTAGGTTCGTCATAATAAACTGGCTATGTTTTGGATTGCAATCACATGAGGTTAAAGGAAGTGCAGTTTACAAACAAATTTTTATCAATGCGTGAGATGTTGCCAGTAAGACTGGCATACTTAATGTTAAAAAAGCTTGTCAGCGCAGCTCCAAAGGAGCTGAAATGTGGAACTCACGTATATCTTTGAAATTTATTATCCTGACGTCTTATTTTTAAACTGGAAAACAGTTTTTTTCGAGTATTTATGAAATTCGAGATATATTATATAAAATATAAAGTTTTCTGTTCCGTAGACTGAAAGGATAGGGTCTAGAAACGGGAATTGATCTGTCTGCGCGTATATCGTTTTTGTCGGTAACATGGCACAAATGACCATGTAACTATGACACAAGTGACCATTTTTTTGGCACAAATGATCATTTTTTTGGTACAAACGACCATTGCTTTGATACAAACGACCATGTAACTATATCACAAATGACCATGTAACTATGGCAGGAGTGAGCAGTTTTTGGCACAAATTACTATTTTTTTTTTTGAGACAACGACCACGTAACTATGGCACTAGTGACCATTTTGGTAAATATGGTACAAAAGACCATATAGTACCCATATTACAAATCAGCATATGACGTATAATAAAATGTTGACAAGTGAATCAGAACAAACACGGAATTTTATGATGTATGAAAATGTTATTATTTTAAATGTGATTTTTTTTAATGTAAATAGCGCTAATTTTATTAGCGCTTTTTTGTACTCAGAAGAATTTTAGTATTAACTTTTTAATCTTAACCTTATAACTGTCTAACACATATGTGTCCTTATGACGTCAGTCTAGGGCCAGGTGAATCGACTGTCGATGAACGTTACTTGTGTGATAACTGAGGTCTGTAATGGAGGCTGTCTGTAATGGGGGCATGTTTGTAATGTTCTCTTTCCCGTTACTATGTGTCTGTAATGGGGGGAGGGGGGAACCGCAAAACCTCGAAATGAAAACTTGCACTCACTATTTTCTTCGAAAATATACGTGAGTTCTACAAAAGTGAGATCAATGAATGACAAAAAATGATAAAATTTTTCATAGTTCTGCATATAGCGCTATGCTGAATGTATTTATTTGTATTGTCTGAGACATCTTCAACGACTCTTCGCTTGTTTTGTATTTCCTTGTAGAATATCACGAAAGTGTAAATAAACAAAAAATTAGTGGAAAAAAACTTGAAACTTTCAGAGAGGTAAATTGTTGGCCTACATTTTAAGAATCTGAACATCGTTTGAATTATTTTCTTTAAGAGAAGGAAATTTGCTTGCTAAAGATTATGCATAAAATGATTATATGGTATGTCGTTTCTGAATAAATTTCAGATTAGGATGTCAAAGAGGTTCTCATTTCATATATTGATTCGTTTAGAAAACCACTGTCAAAAAAATAGCTTCAGTGGATTCTGTAGAAAAATATGAGTTACATAAATATTACTATTTTCAGGTTAATTTTCCATTACTTGATTTCCATTCTACTTCAAATAAGTTTTGTGATTTTTTTCTTGCTAATTTGCACTTAGCTGTCTACTCCGCATAATATTCAAAGCAATGAGCTTCTTCATCTACTCGTAGAAAAACTAAAATTAAGAATAATTGTTGAATATATCTAATTTATTGGAATAAAACTGTGCCATTTATTGTATGGAATTACTTTTTTTTTCCTCTCAGGAAAAAAACTTCAGTCTTTCAGAAGAATCATTTGTTGTAAAAACTGATTTGAACACAACTGATGTACTGTTATTTGACAAACACGAAACTTAGAAATTTTTCCACTGATGGAGTTGAACGTTCTTTTTGATTCGATACGTTCATGTTTAGGTTTATACTTATACTTTTAAAAGTAATTAAGTATTATACAGAAGCTCTTCTTGGTAATTAAGAAAAAATGAATTTTGTGACTCTCCGGGAATTATTGTCAGAAGATATAATAACTTTTTCATAAATTTAATTATTTCTACCTTATTAATAAACCAGCACTGAACAAGAAAGTCATAGAAAAAATCTATTTTTTTAAGTAAATCTGACTGTGGTTGTCGCTGAAGAAATTTACTTTCATCAAATCCCACATTCATATACATACCCATATCAATTTTCAAAGATTTCTATAAAATCTCAATGTAAAATCATTTATCTTACAGTTTTTCTACAAAGAAAGAAATAGTATGTCACTCAAACATTTTTTACAAAGCACTTTTGACTTGAGCTTGCTTTTTTTTTTGAAAACTCGACATTTTGCTCAGAAGCATTCAAATGGCATGGAATAGCATGCAAATGTGATACATCTCGACTTGCTTTTAAAGGTATTTGTTTTTGATACAATGCTTAGTGAATCTCTATAATAACGTTGCAAAGCTTGATTCGAAAATACAATAATAATTTGAATTTTTTTATCATACTTTTTCTTCAGCATAGAATGTCAGTTTACACAGATATTTCTATAACTTACAGTAAACATGAATTTGTTAGAAAAATATCTAAAGTTGATCTGAAAGTTGGAGTAATATTAACTAATTGATGTGAAGCACGAAACTGTATGGTACATAATGCAGGCGCATTTCACTATTCTGATCCTACTTTTCTGAGACTTACATCAAATCTTCAAGTTTTTTTCTACTTCGAAGACACTAATATAAGTGTAACATACATTTGAAGTCAAAATTCAGAGTTAATTATTAGATTTTTCTTTTATTTAAATTAGACGTTTTTCATTTTATAGCTTAAATAGATAAGTTTTGAAGCATGAATAACACAATAAGTTTACATCATTTCTCCTAAAACGGATATCGAGTTTTGTTATGAGTACAAGACTTATTTTCATTACGTATCTGCAGTTGAAACAAATTGTTTCATTTCATTGTTACATCATTATTTGGTTTCTTTTCGATAATGTAATGATTACTATTATTGATGCTATCGGATAACATTTTAAAATTTAGCAAAATGATTAGTTATAATACTAATATAATTTTAAAATTCAATCATCAGTTTTCTAAACACTTTAACTGACGTATAACTTAAGAATTCTAGAAGGAGAGTATTTCTATAGGAACAACAGCTCTGAAAGAAAATATCTTCAATAAAATTATTTTTTATTTCTTATCAGTGACACTTTATTTGAAACTTAGCTCAACACTTCAGTCAAAACTAAACAACCATTTCCAATATATCTTAAACGTTGATTTAATTTTTAAAAATGGTAAGGCATCTAAAAATGACTAGTACTAAAAGATTTGTATAGAAAGTGTTTTCTCTTGCATATTTACCCTTCATGTAAAAGTCTATTTGTTGAAATTTATTGAAAGCTTGGACAGTGTTTCTTTCTTTTACTAGAAACCACTGTTTTCCATAATCATGTTTTTCGATATTCTGAACAATTTCATTACAATTATATGACGTATTCAGAGATTATCGACTACTCAGCGGAAATCATTGATGATTCACTGAATTTTGGTTCAGAATAAAATATCTTTCTCATTCTTTTTATTTTATCTATCGTGTACCCAACACTTGTCGTGAAACAAAAAAAAATGTTGTGATCCATTTCTTGATAAATTCAATAATGCAATGATATTCATGGAAAATGTTAGTTGCCTTTTAAGTTAAGTATGACCTCAAAAAACCATTTATGTTGACAGTATCAGAATCTATTGAATTTATTTTTAAAATGTATTCGATGAGTATACATTCAATGTTTCATATCTATAACTTGCATGAAATTTAAGAGAAATTATAGTTGTTATAATTTTAAACAAAGCGAGACAGCTTTTTATCTGTCGGAAACGAACATTTTTCTACTTATTCTGCTTATCTATCTTGTTTTGACATTCAACAAGAACTTTCATTTCTAAAATTCTTCTTATACGTCACATCTAGAACATCTATGTTAAGTTCATTCGTATATTCTAAGTAATGGCATGCTTCTTCATCAATAAATCTTTTTCAGATAACACTTTTACGGATGTAGTCAGACGCGTTGAAAAGAAGATTGATTAACTAACATACAGTCAGTTGATAAATTTAATGGGCATGAATAATTTTGATCATCAAAAAAGGTACATTTGATCACCAAAATATGTTTGTTGCGAAATGATCACCAAAAAAAGATACATTTGATCACCAAAAATTTTAATTACGAAATGATCACCAAAAAAAAGGAACATCTGATTACCTATTTTCTTAATATGATAATAATAAATAGTTTAAGAAATAACACCTCTACTTATACAACATCAACTAGTAAACTATTAAATTGTGTAATTTATCTTTACTAATTGAATGTTGTGGATAATTGGTAATTAATGCTGCTTTAATTTAGGATTGTGACCATCCACATTCAACATATTTAGACACGGTTTTACGTATTGATAGTGATAACCTTGTTGTTGGATTGCGTTCATTTTCTTCACCTTCATAAGAATTTCTGGATATAATTGTTACACAATGCATATTATTATTAGGCACAACAACTTTAATTTCAAAAGAATATAATGCATATTTTCTATATTCGCTACACTTAAGCGAATATTTCATTTGATTATTTGTGTGCGATCGTCGGTATTACCCAACATTAAACCGTGAATTTGGAAAATCTTTCGCCTCATCATATGATTGAGCTGTGTGTATTAAGGCCCATTCTTCAGTTGACAGTTTTTATATGGTGTATCGTTATGAAATACTATAGCTGATAAATGCTTTGGGCCAATGAGATCATTCATTGGATAAAATTAATACTAACTACTTATATGTTATCAATTAAGTAATTTGTAATTTAACATAGCGCTTTATCTCCCAGTAATGCAACTTCTATTAATAATAAACAGTGATTTTCTGTTAACCATTTAGCACTAATTGATTTGGTGATCAAATGTTCCTTTTTGGTGGTCATTTCGCAATTAAAATTTTTGGTGATCAATTGAATCTTTTTTGGTGATCAAAAGACAGTTTTCCCAAATTTAGTAACATCACATGAATATCTTATAATAATTATACGAAAATCTTCTCAAAGCACAGTATGCAGCTGACATAAACTGATAGCTATTATATAAATCAAATCTTCATATTCTAATAAGAAAATTGAAAGTCTGTTAGAGTTTTCTCTTTTCTTAAATATTCTATTTATCTATAGATTGGTCGATTCCTACAGATCATAATCTGCTACATGCGAGAGAAGGAAAGAAAAATATCTCGAATAAGCCGCTCATTGTATTGTGTTCTGTTCATTTTTACAGTTTTTGTTAGTGATATATTAACTTAAAACCTTGATCTATGTCGGAAAGTATCTTTAACAGTTTTCTCATTTGATATTTGTTTCTTAATGGTTTCTTTTACTGAGATTTTTTGCCGTTTACATACTCTTCATGGTTGACAACATCAAGACAGCAGTGAATAACGATTATTTGTTCTAATGATTTTACTGGTTTTCCTCTTTCAACGCTAATGAATGTGAGTATGGATGTCGTTCAGCAGGACGATAATGCACACGCACACATCTGCCTGCACGCATATTCGTCAAAATGCAGTAGGCTTTCTTAGAGTAGCTGTTCGATGAAATGTCTTCTAACTACTTCATTTTTAAAAAATTCCTATCATCTCTTACAAATAATATAGAACAAAATTATTCAGAAAAATAAAACATTATTTTTTCTTAGTATATTTTTATGAGAATGTATCAATCCAATGACTAACTTGAATATTATCATTAAAATGTTTGTCTTCTGGTTTCTACTATCCCATCAAAGTTAGATTTACTATATCTTCATAACAATAGGTAGGTCAATTATTATTGTTTTGATTTAAAAATGAAATACTTGTTCAGCTATTCTGAATATCAGAGAACTCTAAACTTCTATACTAGAAAATAAAAATTGTCTGCTAGCATCTTACATGTAATTTCTTATTAGTTGAGCTCATTCATTGAAGCACAAACTACTCGGCCAATATTCAAAGAATCTTACATTTAATTTTCTGTACCTTAGTCGACTGATCTGAAGTCAATGCTGACATGTAGATGATGAATTGAATACTTTATTCCAGTAAGCCGTTCTTTCTTCGATTAAGATAAAAGAGTCGAGTAAGTGCATCTTTTCAATTTCGTAAAATAACAGATGCGTCTCTTGTGTTGAGTGACTATTGATACATATCTACTATTCAGTTTAGTAATCTTCCTGACACTAAGATGCAATTAGAGATGTACCGAGACTCTCGGCCTGAGCCGTCTTGCTCTAGATCATAGTTCTGATTCGATATGTATCTAGAATAAAAATTCATTGACATAGATGAAAATTTTCCGGTTTTCAAAGATCTCGAAGACTCTACAAGACGTTTATTGTTAATTGATTCATTTGTTTGCATCTAAATTTGTATACATAGCGACAGTCGGATCATGAAAGGAATGACTACACCTTATTTAGATTCGTTGAAAATTTTGAAGTTTTCGAGTGGTATTGACTTAAATTTGTTCTTTTCTTTCATGTTCGAGCTGTCCCTAGCACCCAGATCTAGATGAAAGTAAGGTGATCGATTATCAACAAGCGTCTTGCAGAATCTTGATGGTTATTGAAAACAAAAATCCTTATCTGTATCAATGAAATTTCAATCTCAGTACATTTATGAGTGTGGGTATAGTCAAAAGAAGATTGACAATCACACCCACACCCGTACTTGATCAGTAAGCTTCAGGTATTTCGAATGAACTTCTTCAAAAATGTCCGGGCATTTTCTGATGATTTCATGAGAGATACGCTGCTAGGGACTTCCAAACATTTTTCAGTGTAACAAAGCTTTCCTCTATCGTCTACCCAAGCAGACAAAAATTTTGAAAAACGCTTTTACACGCACAATCGGGAACCACGATTGTAAACCATTGACGCTTTTTTTTAAAAACGCAAGAAAACGCGTTTATTAGCATCTATTGTAAGTTTTTGGGCATAAAAACGGTGAAAACTCCAGTTTGTGAACGTTAGAACGCGCTATTATTCTAGAATTTTTAAAAACAAGGCGTTTTAACGTTCACAAACTGGAGTTTTCACCATTTTGATGCCCAAAAAGTTACAAAAAATGCTAATAAACGCGTTTTCTTGCGTTTTATAAAAAAAGCGTCAATGGTTTACAATCGTGGTTCCCGATTGTGCGTGTAAACGTGTTTTTCAAAATTTTTGTCTGCTCGAGTACTTTCATGCATAACAAAGACAACAAACCAACTCACTCCTTTTTGTGACTTTCGTTCCTAGTGTTTCAATTGGTTCGCTAAGATCACTTATTGCACTAAATCCAATCTGTGTAACAGATTGTACTTTGAATATGAATTTTGTTTTTGATTGTAAATTCAAAATTGTTATATTCGTATGCCTAGTATTTGTGTAAGTCACATTCCATCTTGTTGACATTATATTTCCACTGTTATCTGTTGATTCATCGTCACTATATTCCCGATACATAACCTTGTATTTCGTCACATTCCTTGTTTCTTGCATTGCATCTATCCATTCTAGTGTTATATTATTGTCACCAACTGATGTTGCGTACGGTGCATCTGGTTTACTTGGCATAACAAAATGACTTTTTCTGGATCCGTCCTCATAGAAAATGAATGTAGTTCCTTTATTTTGATCAGTGGAATATTCTTCGTCCACAATAAATTTTATCTTTGTATTGTTAATATTATTTGTTTGTGCAAATTCTATGAATTCCCGTATGTTTCTACGAGTTTTTTCTATAATGCGATCATTTCTAAACCATTTCGTACGGTTTTGAAGACTGCTCGATGATGTAGAATTATTCAACATATATCGATAATTGTACATATCAATAAGTTGTGGATCATCTTCTTCTACGAGATGAAATCGAAGACATAGAATATATTTATATGCAGTATCACCAATTGAAGAATACAGAGACAAGGATCCGATTGTAACATTTAAACTAGTATCCTTCATAATATTTTCTATCCACGATGTAATTAACGCAATCTCGCTTTTTTTTTCTGTCAACCATGCTTCTAATTTTTTTTGATTAAATGGTGATGAATCAATTTCTTTAAAATAATCAAATAAAACAGATTCTTCGATACCAGTGTTTCCACGTAGTTTGGGTAGATTTACTACGAGTTTTTGTTTTACATCACGTTGAAATTCAGATAATCTTGTAGCATAATTCGTTAAATGTATTTTCATATAATTTAAATGTGTAAAAACTTCACTGTTTGATAAATCTAATGCCTTTACTTCCAATGAATGTAGATTTTCTAGTACTGATACCGAATAATCAATCAGATTCGATGAAATTTCTCGAACTATGCGCATTGCTTTATCATCTAATAAATGTAGTGGATAGAGCCACACCTTTTTTGGTATTACATTTTCCTTGTTTTCACCTAAAAGCAATGGTAATTGTCGATAAATTTTAACAGCTTCTACAAAGGTACTGGGATTTTCAGTTAATTGAAAATCACCATAGAATTTACAACTCAACTTGTCAACGAAATTTTTTTCTTGATCAGTCATATTTAATTTAGCTTCTCCATCGATTTTAAACGTTGGTATTTTATTGATCACCACTTTCAATGTACCACTTATTTCCTTACGAGATTCTCCCTTTGTTATTGTGCGATCAAATACAAAATATGCTTCGGCACCATAAAGTATACCAGTAACTACATGAGTTGCAAGATCGACATCATGTAATTCTGGATGATTTATATTCTTTTTACTGAGATGCTTCATCGTCAATTGTTGAAACCGTGTTGTAGTTGAATATTTTAGTGTCAAACGAGTTTCATAATTTGTTTTTTGAAAATCTTCAGCATATTTTGCAGAGCCCGACATACTTACAAGACCGCTAGCCATACTTAATTTTAGACTAGCTTCAACACCTAAGGCATGTGCCTTATTATGGAACGAGTCTTCAGTGATTATTTCAAAGCCAGTATACGGATGTTTACTTGTGCTTGTATAGTTAGCTAATATTTCTGGATCCCACAGAGTGGTACCAGCGATAATCATATCTCTACGAATATCATATAGCATACCCAAATAGAATGGACGTCCTAGTGCAACCATAGTGATTGGCTTTTGTTTAGCTATTATTTCCAACGGCCAGCAAAAAAAAACAATTAAAATTGTCAGTTGTAAAATAAACATTGAACTTGATTTGTCTTGATTTTTTGGAAATACAGTATACTGAAAAGAAAAAAAAAGTCAAGTACAGAACACACGACTGTACGTATTATTTTATGTTGCTAGATAATACAGTATTTTTAAGACATCTGTTTCTAAGAAAGATTTTGGTTATTGGCGAAGAGTGAGGAGTAGAGTAATTATTCTTCTTACAAAAACTAACAATTAGACACAGATGATTACGTTAATGCGCAGACATTTTAGGTCATATGGAGGATAATCACGCATACATAATCTTATTAAGCTGTAGTTCTACAGACATCATCAGCTCAGACTAATCGATTGCATGTGTTGTTCTTAGTCACCATCTCTCTCTCTCTCTCTCTCTCTCACATAAAAACAATGACAAAGTGAGGCTTCTATCTTCATCACGATACACCACCAATATAAGGATGAACGAAACATAAATCTAAAGATATAAAAATTTTTTAACAGTACAGCTTAAAATAACATGCAAAATTCAACAAGACGAAATTGCAAAAACTATATTGATGAAGAACATTGAATAAATGTTTTCCCATGTTTTCATACTATCATGCGCCATCAAAATAAAAAAGATGATTTAAAAAAATACTTTCATTTAATATTTCTCTAATTATGCGTGAGAATTAAATTCAAAATCATACGATATCAATGTATACTACTCTGTGTTCCATCAATTTTGCACCTGTCTAGTTCAATACTTAAACGATATGAAACACAGCCCACTTTTTATGAAACTTTGTATTTATGCTATGAGTTGTTTTTTTGTGCGTTTCATATTCTAGTCCACATTGTCAATCTAAATTTTAATAGAATTTCTTATGGAAAAAATCTTAGTGTATAATTTCACAAAAACGATTAATTTCATGTTTTCATGCATGATTTCTGTAGTACAGCTTTCTGTATGTATTAAAATATTCCTCTTTCATTTACGAGATAATCAAATCATAAATTGAATTGTTGCATCAAAACTAATCTCATCATCAATAAAGAAAAAAAATATGTATAAATTAAATAATACTTTCACCTATTCAGTAATATTCATGGATATTTGTCATTGATTAATCGCTGTTAGCACCACTGTATGAACTGAAACCTACGTTAAACCGATCAGAGTATACAATGTTGAGAGAATTACGATAATTGACACTCTCTTGAGTTCTCACCATTTAGAACGCTCTGGTGTATCATGAATTAGTGATGTAAAAATAATCAATGTTCTTCTGACTTGTTCCTGACTCGATAGAAACTTATCGCATGGAATTCTCCCTTATTATTCGAGTTGTGCACTAACGGACTTTAACAATAATTTCGTTACTAAAACAATTATTGATCAGTGTTGATATTCAAGTATCTAATGGATAGGTCGAATATTTCACTTCGATAAAATGATAGTCAACTATGAGACGTATGGAATAAAAATATTAATGAAACCAACTTTGTTTAACGGCGTCCTAATAATGTCGGTATCAAGATATGGTATTTTGTGTTTTCTTCTCTTTCGTGTACTAAATGCTATTTATATAGCAGAGACCGTCGTGTTAATAAGAAATCTTCTATCCAATGGTAGGTATAGAACAAAAATATTTTGATCGAAGTCAATGAGATGAGATTTTCACATTTATCTGTTAAATGAAATCAACAACTATAAATATAAATAGGTTTTGATTAATGGATGATAGCCCTAATTATTTTTTGTTTGCCTGGATGTTATTGTAATCTCTTGTGTTGAAAGAAGAGATTTCCAATATCAAATAAGAAAAAAAAAAGGATACATCAAAAGAAAACAGTTTAATATTATCGCTATATATCATGAACATAACGCTTGTGATCACGATTTTTTGTGATGATATTCGTCAAAGAATGATTAAACACTACAGCGGACTATAGTGTCTATGAACATTAAAGGAAAAAATCTTCCGTTTAATAATAAACTCTGCTACTACTTTTGAAAAGACCTCAATAATATTTTCTTTTATATGATCAAACGAAGAAAATAAGTGTGATAATTAGTTTCGATTTTGCATACAACATTTGCAAAATATTGTTCCCACCAGAAGCGATGGAATATGAAACCATGAAATTTTCTTGTCTCATCAGAAAAATATTTGGGAATTTATCATTTTCAATATTTCCCATGGTTGAAGATTATTTTTCTTTTCATCTTCGCATGTTCTAAACATATAGCTCTAGATCATGTACTTTCTTCAACATCAAATATGGAAATACAAAAAATAAACACGCTGACATACATATAACGATCAACTCAACACTTCTAGAGAGAACAGAATAATATCTATGCACTTTATTAGAATGTTCTCTAAGAAGAAAAGAAGAAACTAAATTCATAAGCTCTCGTTTGAAGAAGGAATATTATACAATTAGACGTTTTGTTTCGTTAGATAAAGCCAGAAGAGGAAAATTGGAATAAATCTTTCTGTATTAAAGATAATAATGTTTGTTCTAAGATGAAGCTTGAAATAATTCAATGAAACAGTATTTTTCTATAATAATTGTTTTTTTTTTATTTTTATCTTAAGTATGATAATTTATTATTTAGTTTTTGCTTATTATATGAACATCCAGGATATTGAATTATTATAGAAAGATCTCTTTTCATATGTTTCCTATATTTTTTTCAATGATCAAGACTGCAGGATATTAAATTATTGCACTTTGACTTCTTAATAATTTCTTTTTGACATTTACATGTCATGTTCTTTGGAGATGTGCAAACTTCAGTCCATGGCCCATTTGATCCTTAGGTTGTGTGCCGATATATGCGTCACGACTCACTGCTCTTCCTCTTTCTCTCTCTATTGTTCTCTCTATGTCATCTCTCTCTCTCTCTCTCTCTCTCTCTCTCTCTCTCTCTCTCTCTTTGTTTCTGTATTATATATAAGCGTGTGTTGCATGTGCAATAGACCCACTCTGGAGATGTAAAGTAGCTAATAAATATCATTACCGAGGGTGGCGGTAAGCTACTCCTCCAGTCTGTCGTATCATCTCTCTCACATTTTTATCGTTACATGGCAACCCTGGCTATCCGATCCTAGCAATTTCTCTTGATGCCAAATTCTTATCAAAAGCAACAACATGAAAATAAACAAATAAGCCAATCGAAAGACGACGATCAATCAACTACTATACATTGTGTGAAATAGCAAGTACGACGCCAATTAATATGGCGATAAACCTCCTCAACGGCTTGAATGGTGGCGGCGTCCGGTGGGCAAGCGTTGGCAGGAGTATTTAAGATAAAATGAATTATATGAAGAGAAGAAATCGAAAAGGGTGTGGGTGTGGGTGTGGTTTCTGAAGATGAGAGAATCACAACTATATTCACACCCACACCTACACTCATAGCCAGACTCGGCTCTATGACAATTGTGTGTAAGGCGATTCGGTGTAAGACAATTGTGTGTGAGACAATTGTAAGAACAGACAATTGTGTGTAAGGCGAATAACGATCATATACACATCAATTATATGCAAAACCTCAAGATTTAGAAAAAATGAATTAATCATTGTACTACTAAGTACTGCTTATACATGATAAGGATATGAGTTCATCATTTTTGTAAACAGGTTGAACATAAGTGAGAGTTTATCTAACTTTCACTAATTGCATACAAAATAAAAGGAGTATGCGAATGAAATTACTGTCCAAATCTCGAAATCTCAAAAATAAAAAGCTCGAATATGGAAAATCTTAAAAACGACAATCCCCAAGATGCAAAATCTAGAAATGTTTTATTTCGAAAATAATGTCATCTCGGACGAGAGCTGGTAAAGAATTGAGAAATGGTCACTTCTCTTTTCGTCTTATATAAATTTGTTTGTCTTGAACTAAATTTCTTGTGAAAGAGCTTTATTCGCGGCGGCAACTATACATGGGGTTTGGGATGAACAACGTCACATTTTTCAGAAATATTGTCAGTGCTAACGTTTTAAAGCAAAATAGATTTTTTCGAGATTTTGCAATTCGACATTCGGACACATTATCTGTAAAAGTTCATTCTTCCTTGAATATATGTAAAAGACGTGAGAATACGGGGTTGTCACACATTTGATAAAACAGAAAAACTAAAAACGACTGCTCATACATTTATGTCATAATTGTTCATTGATTTGTTCATCTTGATTTATTTTTGTTATTTTTGTGTACTTTTCTCTGTGATGATTGGCCTTCATTTTTTGACTATATATTTATTTGCACATAACGGACTGTACACACGATTGTCTTGCACACAATTATCCATTCACACAGCTGTCTTTCACATAACTGTCTTGCACACAATTGTCAATGCACACAATTGTATGACAGACAATCGTCGTGCTTCTCCCACACCCACATCTACACCCACACCAACACCCATACCCACACCCGCACTCACACCCACACCCACTCACACCCCCATCCTTATCTTCATGAACACGGTTATAAGAATGTTTTACCAAAAAGTACTCATATGTTAACATCTGATGATAAAAAACGACGTGTTCAATGGGCTAAACAGCATAAAAATGATAATTTTACACGTACAATATTTGCAGACGAAGCTTCATTTCAACTTTTCCGTAACGCTATTCGTCGTTGGACAAAACATCCAAATACTGAATTTAAACGTATACCTAAAAATCGTCAAAAAGTTCATGTGTGGGTGCTGTTAGTGTGAAAGGTGTGTTGAGCAGTCACACAATCAGATGCAACTTTGATGGTCCATATTATGTTGATATGCTTGAAAATTATCTTCTTCCTGTTGCTCGAAGTAAATAATGAAGAAGAACAATACAGTCTTACTGTTTATTCCTCTGTTTTAGAACAATTTCGTCAAAACTGGCGTTTACAGCAGGATAATGATCCGAAACACGCCAGCAACATTACCAAACAATTCATCAACGCTAATGTACCACAATTATTAGAGTGGCCATCTAATAGTCCAGACGTTAATCCCATAGAAAATATTTGATGGATCGTAAAACGCAAAGTTGAAAAAAGAAAACCCAATAATATTGATGAACTAGAACTTTTTTTAGCTGAACAATTCAAAAATACTGACATTAATGTTGTAATAAATTGTGTGATGTCCATGAAAAAAAGATGTTTGTCTCTTATTTCTTCTAAAGGTGAACGAATAAAATATTGAAATATAGTGTTTAATAGTACTCGTCAGAGGCTATCAATCCAAGGGGGAAACAGCAGAATCCAGTCCCTTGGATTCAAGTGGATTCAAGTGGATTCAAGCGGATTCAAGCGGGTTCAAGCGGATTCAAGTGGATTCATGGATTCTGCTGTTTTCCCCTTGGCTATTCCCAAACCAAAACAATATTACTCACAACCCGGAGGTTCTATTCCCAAAACAGAACAATAGTAGTCACAACCCGGAAGTTCT